GGACTTCAACTGCCCGCAGGTTCCACAGGCGCATTTCACAGTTGGATTCCAACGGGATTTACGGGCATCAGGTCTTGAACCGGCACCCTCTGCCAAGATCTTACAGTCCATTTATAAAAACTACCTAAACCATAAAGCCACAAACAATCCTAACCCTGGTAAAATCGTGACCCCCTTAATCCTAAGCGCCCCTTTTGAACCCCCCCTCTACGCCCTAAACCAACATTGCTGAGTGTCCTTCATCACCCCACCTCCCTGTTCGTCCGCACCGCTCCCTCCTCCCCCCCTTTCCCACCTCTCCCCTCCTGGGATGATTTGTTCCCTATGCCGTTGTCCTTCCAGGTCTGGATGCATATGATTGTAATCACTGACAGATGCATTTAAGGAAACCTGCTGCTCTTCCCTTCCTCTTCTTCTGCTGTTTTGGTTGCTACAACCTCACTCTTGGCTCCAACCTGTTTTGAGTCTGGATGAATCTGACGGCAATTACTGAGAGATGCATTGAAGAGGAAGCGGTGGACGGCAGGAGGAAGTGGGGAAGGTAGTGGAAAAAGAGTGGAGAAATAGGACCAAAAAACGAAAAAAAAAAAATCACTTATCGGTAAACATAGGAAATGATTAATATTCCAGATCGAGAGAAGAATATAGCGTAGCTTTTTAAAAGAAGAAACAGATTGTCACATCCTCTCGTTTGTTGTCCTCTTCTCCCTCTCTGCCTATATATAATATATATATATATATGTGAAGATATATATATATATACAGGGTAACCGGCATTCGGGAGTTGAAGCCAGAACCCGAAAGCCCAAACGTATGGGACCCCTTCAGGATACGTTCGGCCGCTCGGGCCGAACGCGGACGCAAAAAAAAAATCAAAAAAATCTGAAACAAAGATATCTTATGAAGAAAAATAAAATAAACAACATTTGTCTGAGCATTACATCCAAATTCCTTACCAAAATAAAAATAAAATACGGAGAACAAATACTAATAATAAAAATAACAAAAAATAAAAAAAAGAATTAAATTCACGTTTTCGACACCACCATCTTTCGCGATTTTTCGTTTTTTTTTGGCATAGCTAAATGCCCTGAAAATTTAATGATGTGTGCTTCACATAATACAAAACCCACTAAAAAAGTTTCAAAAAATAATATAATCGTTTAGACCCCGAACTAAAGTGAAAACAAAAAGTAAAAAAGTGAAAAAAAACGTGGGCGAGGACGTTTTGACACCGCCATCTTTGACGATTTTTAATTCTTATTTGGCTGAGCCAAATGACGTCAAAATTTGTAGGCATGTACCTCACGTCATAGAGAACTCACATAACTGTCTTGACGCCAGCTTTGGCTGGATTTAGGCTCGCCAGAGTTCAGATACAAGAGGCGAATAACGGGAGTCGAACCCGTGTTTTCATTTATCGTTGATTGCCCAAATTGCCGATTTTGTCAAAATCAATGAGGCCGAGGCTCACCAGCACTTCCTTCGTTCGTGCCTCTGCCAATCCTCAGAAGCGATGATATGATATTATACGCGGTGTTTCTTAGGAGGACGACAATCCGTTATGTGGCGTTGGAGTTACATCGCTAATCTTGGTTATAATAAGACCTCCTAATTGTAAACCACGTAAGGCCGAAGGCTTTCCGTAACCTAAACCTTTGATTCTCACTTCAACTGACTTAATTTCTAATGGAATAGCAGCACGCGCTACATTCTCAGCAGTAGCTTGAGCAGCATTAAAAAATTCAGAAAAAACAAAACAAAAAAAGGTCCCGAAATAATTTTTGGTGGGGGTCGAACGCCGTCGGGTTCGGACCCCGTACGGGACCCCGAACGCCCGTAGGGACCCCTGTACGTACGGGCTGGTTAGCCTCCTGATGAGTCGGTGAAACTCCGACGAAACAGTTTGTCACAGCCCCTCGTTTGTTGTCCTCTTCTCCCTCTCTGCCTACGGTTTACCGG